AAAATTATTTATTTCATTTTATTTCTGAAAATCCTTTTGCATTTTGATTATATCTCGATTTCAGAAATTATGTTTATTCAAATTAATTAATTTTTTTAGACTTGGATTTTATATCATTTCATGATATTTTCATATAACCTTCATAAAAAAGATAGGACCCAGTAAACACAGATTGGATCAGAATTGGTCAATATTTAGTCAAAATCGGTTGAAAAACGTTTAGTATTGACTAAAAATCGACGCTTGATTTGAAATGTATATTTCAAACTTTTTTATATATTCGTTTACTAATTGTCGATCTAACATTTAGAATATCGACTTACATTAGTTAGTATTTAAAACTTTAATTGACTTTAATTAAACGTAAACATTTAAAGATTTAAAATCTACGCTTTAAATCCTTTAATACATAGGTTTATTAAAGGTCGATCAAACGTTTACAATATTGACTAAGTCGTTATTCTAAACGTTTGATCGACGTTTAATAAACGTTTATCTGATAATATGAATACGCTTATTTAATATTAGTCAAGTTAAGTCATTTTCTAGGCTTTTCTATTTTAGAGTAGTTTCTAGGCTTTTCTATACGCGGTTTTTTTTTTAATTTTATTTACTAACAACGCGTATTACGGGTTGCTTACTGCTAGTTATATTATAATATAGTAATATTATATTATTATTATTATAATATAATTATAATAATAATAATATATTATAATTAAACAATAAATATAATAATATAATTAAATAATATAATAATATATTTATAATTAAATAATATATTTATAATTAAAAAAATAGTATAGTAATATATTTATAATTAAATAAATAGTAAAATAATATACTAGCAGTAAGCAACCCGTAATACGGGTTGTTAGTATATAAAATTAAAAAAAAAACGTGTATAGAAAAGCCTAGAAACTACTTTAAAATAGAAAAGCCTAGAAAATGACGTAAGTCGACTATTAACTACTACTATTAAATTAGCGTATTAATATTATCAGTTTAAGTCACGCGGTTTAAATAGGCATACTTAAATTGAAATAAAAAACTTATCAAAAAGTCTTTTTTTATTGGCTACAGAATTAAATTAGTCTTAAATCCGTTTTCAAGGTTCACTTCCTTATAGCAACTGAAAGCAAAACGACTGTTAAATAAATAATAAATGTCGGGTGCGCTATTTTAATTCATGGAAGTTAAAAAGCTCTTATCGTGACAATCTACCTTCCTAAAAGCCAACAAATCAATGAACTCCGTTGTTTTAGAAATTATTGATGGCCACATTTACGCAGTTAAAAATATGAGTTGCTGGTCTCTCGTTATGAAAATCCTGCTGCAAAAACTTTTTTCGTAAGTTTTATAAACAGTTTAAACTCATTTTATAAACGCTAGTATGATTGTGAAACAGTAGATATTCATCTTTGTAATAATCAAGAGGTTTAATAACTAAATGAGTTACATTTGAAAATTGGTGGAACAGAGCTGCATAGGTAGAGTTGCAACATTGCTAATTTTTTAATGTCAAAAAAAAATATGGATGGTACAGGAAATTTCGGAAACTTCCATTTAGAAAATCTATATGTAAAGTTGTCCTGTATAATTCCAATTTTGATTTTTGAATTTACATTTAAAATGCTAACTATTTTACCCTAGTTTTTTGCAGTTACAAATAAGGGTATGAATGTAGAAGATGATGTTGCGCAAGCAGGTGTAAGATAAACAAGGGGTAGACGGTATTCTAGGAAGATTTTTGATAATGCATAAACCAGAAAAAACAGTGATCCAAAATATTTTTTTATGATTTTATTAATTTTATTAGTAATCTTTGACTTAATCTTAATGTGCACTTTTATTTATTGCTAATGAGATTAAATTTAAAAAATATTACATATAATAGCCCAATAGATTGTTAAAGTTTCCACTGCAAAAAGCTTAAACATTTAATTTTTTTTAATTATAGAAGCATAAATAAGTATAGTGCGCGAATATTTTTTTTCTAAATCCACACTATATGAAAACGTTTTATATAAATTTATAACTTTACATATAGTTTATAAAAAAAAAATAATAAAATAAAAGTATAGTATAAGTAGAATAATATAAACAATAGTTACAAAAAATATCAAAAATAAGACCATACCTTTTATAATTATATCTTATTTATAAATTTCATTACTTTTATAACTATATCTTATTTACAAATTTAAGACCTATACAGTTCTTATTACTAAACATCTGCGTCTCAAAACGGTACAAGACGAAACGAGACAAAATGATAAAAAATATAATTTTGATAAAACTGGTACGAATCGAAACAATGTTTATACAATTTTGCAAAAAACGGTCTTGTTTCGTGAAAAGTACGGTACAAATCGAAACAATAATTTCGTGTTTTGTATAAACCGGTACGAAACGAAATAAGGTTAAACTTTTTAGTTAAACTTTCGTTTACGAAAAATTAAGTTAGTAATATTAAACGCGCATTTATTCTGCTTGAATGTTAAAGTTCATGTATTGCTCGGGGGTGTGGAAATCGTAAAATATCTGTTAAGGGCGGGGGAATTATTAAAGGTCCCATAAAAACCGATACTAAAAGAAACAAAATTTTCTTGTTTTGTAAAAGTACGGTACAAAACGAAACAAGCTTTACTTGTTTCGTAAAAGTTAGATACAAAGCAATATGATATTTTGTTGTTTCGTAAAAACAACACGAAACGAAAATTATCGTTTTCTATCGTGTCAAACCGAATTTCCGAGAGGATACAAGAAGACGCAGATGCTTACTTATCACTTATATAAAGTTAAAAAGTTATAACGCAACTTTGATTTTTGTAAGTTCTAAAACTTAAATAAATTGAAATTATTTTAACTAAATCAAAGAAACTATTAGACAAGACTTATTAGTTTAAAATACGTTTACTTAGACTAAATCTAAACGCTTTATATACGTTAATTAGACTAGATTTAAATGTAAATTAGACAAAACCTAAACATTTTATATACGTATAATAATCCTATAATAGACGCCTAAAATATGTTTGAATATAGGCGTTTTATGAACGTTTGTTCTAAACGTTAATCTGGATTTCATTCTAAACGGATAATCCACTAAATCTGAACGTTTTGTCGAAACGTTGTTTTGACGTTTAATGTACGTTTGTGTGTTTACTAGGTATATTTAAAATTTATTTCTATAAGTTTTGATAAATATTACCTGTTATAAAAATGTAAATAAGATGACAACTTTTCTAATGATATGCTTTTTATTTTTATTTTTTTTTTGAATTAATTAAGGTGTAGATGTATATAGTAGTTTTATTGGTTTAAGGTTAAGTTCTATTGGTTTATATATTTAGTTTAGGTTAGCTATGTAATCCACGTCATATCTAAAGCTAGGCTGATCAACAAGCTATGCAAATTACAGTGTGTGTAAATTTATGAAATAGAATTTACAAATTGAATGAAGATAGAACATGAATGATAAATTGATAGGACAGTAGTAATTTTTTATTTTTGTTTTTTAGATAATTGCAGGCTGTAGTTGCAAGTACCTTCAACTACAAGCCAATTTAAAATAATTTTCTTAGCAGCATTTTCTAAGAAAAATTTTCCTTTTATTTACTAGTTAGATTACTTATATTTCTTCAAATTATTTTTGGAGATTGTTCAATGTCGGTGTTTTACAAAATTTTAAGTTCAAAAAATTATTTTACATCTAGGCTTTTAGTTTTAATTTTTATTCAGGAGTATAATTATAATTAGAATGTCCATTTTTTGTAATATTTTTTCTGCAAATATCAATTTGACATTATGTTATTAATGTGACAGTATGTTGTCATTTTAATGTGCGTCAATAATTTGTCAATAATTAGCAAAGCTAATTATTGACAAAAGTCACACGTTGCATATTTTCATAATTATAACGTTTTGTATTACGTCATTAATTTTTGACACAAGAGTCACTTGTATTTTTAAATGCTATATATAGCGAACAATTTTGTTGTAAAAACGTCGAGGTTGTTGATAAGTAATAAAAACATTAAAAACAAAATGGCTTTTAAATGCGTTGAACAACAGAGTATAATCTCAAGATATAATTATAAAATGTTAGGATGAGGAACATAGACCAATGATCCATACGCATTGTTTTTTTTATAAATCAAATTCAAGTTTAGCGCAAAATGTCTGCTCCGATAGAAATCATTTGCATAAGCTTTCAATGTTGATATTAAGATTTTATTGTTTTTATTTTGTTTTGTTTTTGTTTTTAATTTATTTTACATGCCTTTAATTTATTTTACACGTCTTATCACCAAGCACCGCGGAAGAGCATTTAAAAAGAAGTTCACGCCTCCTTCCTTACCGATATTATAAAACCTGCCCAGAATTGGCTTCAAACCACGGATTTCTAGCTTCTGAGGCAAGCGCTACGGCTGCTCTTATTGTTATTTTTGCATGGTTACCACAAGACTGTAAGCGTGAAAACACGCGCAAACTGGCAATCAGGAGATTTTTGAACAAAAACTAACCACGTGTTAGTTTAACGGAGAGAAGTGAATACGGCTGCAGGTTGGACTGCAATTTCAAAAACAAACAAACAAATAATAAAAAATTAAAACTGTTGAAACTTTAATTACTATAATTATTTGTTATCTTTTTTAAATTAAAACTTATAACAAAAAACATCATGAAAAAGTTTTATCAAAAAAGTAACAAAAAAAAACTCAAATAGTAGATGAAAAAACTATACATATTTTTTTCTTGTTGTTGTTGTTTTAGTTTAGGTTAATTTTTTTCAATTATTAAAATTTTGTGATTTTATTAAATAAATGTTAAAAATTAATTATTAAAATTATCTTTTTCACAATATCTGTTCAGCTTTTCAAAAAAAAAAAAAAAAATGATATAGGATTAAAAAAACAATGGAGTTCAGTGGAAATTTCCTTCAACGTCCAAGTCTAGTCCAATAGCCCGTAATTTGCGACAAGGAAGAAAATTTATTTAATTAAATAAAATTATTCATAAAAAGTTAATTTAGGTAATAAACTTAAAATTTTAAAAATCCAATAATTCTAAAAACTGTTAATGATGTTTCTTTTTCTTGAATAAACGAAATAATGCTTTAATATCTTTTAATTTTTTTTTCTTTTTAATATCAACAAACTGGAATGAAGGTTTTGGTGGATTTAAGATAACATTGCAATCTGATAGGCTAGATGTGTCTAGTTTGCATTTTACGTAAGAATTCATGTAGCTTAAAATGAAATGAAAGGGAGATTGGCCTTGTTTTAGCAATTGGTAATGAAACTCTTTTATATCAAACTTGTCGCCAAGCTGTTTCTCAATACTGTTTCGTAGGTCAATTATTGTTTGCTGACCAATCATATAAGAAGTTGCTTGACCTGGTGTACCTAGAAAAATTAACATAAAATCATTGTTTTCAAGAAGAGTTTAATAAGTTTAAAAAATGGAAAAAACAAAGCTAATGTTTTTAAGTGAAACCCTTGGAATAAGATTTAAAGAAGACACTTTAAAAAAACCGTAAACAGGCGATTTTACGGGAGGGTGTAGGGGTTGTTAGACCCCCTCCTCCCCCAAAGATGGTGATTTTCAAGTAATAGTCGGGTTTTTTCGAATTTAGTCGGCTAATCAGGTATTTGGCAGAATTTAGTCGAGTAAATTTTAATTTTGAGGAACTTTTTTTTTTTTTTTTTTTTTTTATACGAAGCCAGTCTGTACTTTTTAAGGATTCACCTCCTATTATTTTATTTGTAGAATCGCCTCTGACTGTAAACAATATAGTTTACAGACAAAAAAACTTATTTAGTGCAGGAAATTTTAAATCAATTTTTGTTTGTAAAAAAAAAAACTAATTTGATAAAACAAATTTAATCGCAATTCGTTGTTTATAAGTTAGAATTAAACATTTTATAAAAACAAAATAAATTCTCAAAGTTTCTTCATTTTGGGTGTGTTCTAATACTAGTATAACTTTTTTTTAACTTTTTTTAAAATGATTTCCTTTTTTTTTTTTACACTTATGCAAGTTAATTTCTTTTCTTAAAAATGTTTTTTTTTCCTTGTTTTTAGAAAAGCGAAATAATAACGAGAAAATTATTTAAAGTATTTCAAAAATTACATTACCTTAATATATGTGTGTTTTTATTTTCTGAAACTATACTAACCTTGGTAACGTGTTATTTCCTTAATAACTGTGTCAGACTCGTCCCATGTATATTTTGAAAACAATTTTGTAACATCATCTCGTGTTAGGTTTCCTTCGTGGAAACCGACATCCGCTATTAAACGTAGAGCTCGCCAAATCTAAGAAAGAAAAAATATTACTTTTCTTTTTTCGGCAGGGGTAAATTGACGAAATGCATTTATCTTTTTATTTTAATGTGGAATTTAAGATGCTCTAAGACGTCCTTATAGTGGTAGATCCCCCTTTCTTTTGACATTTTCTCAAAAAATATTTTTTTATTGATTCTTATGAAAGATTTATCAAGGAACTTGAATTTTACTTCTAAAACAATTATTTTTTATTGTAAAACACTCAACTTAGCAATTTTCGTGTTAATATGAAAAACTAAATTTTTTCATAAACAATTTTTTTACGAAAAAAAGTTTTCTGCTATTCAAGCTTCTCTTCTTTTCCTTAGATATCTTATTGTGTCTTCTTCTTTAGATACCTTATTATGTCTTCTTCTCTTTCTAACTGCTTAAATACTTCTTGTTTACATTACGTAACGCACCTGGAGCTTATTAGTTTTGTATAACGCAAAGTTATTTGTATTTTTATACAAAATTTTAAACAATCGTTTTCTCTTAATCTACATTTTCATACTTGCTACAAAGTATGAAAATCTCAAGTTTTACAGGTCTAATTGACTTAATTTTTTTACAATATGTTTAATACACTTGAACCATCTCAAATAAGTTTTAAATCATACTTGACATCAACTAATGCTGTTATGCCAAATCATGAACTTAAGAAGGAAGAATTATTAAATTCAGTTTCTTTGTTAAAAAGTAACAAAAGTTCTGGTTTAGATGATATCAGCAGTATGGTCATTATTAAGTCACTAAAATATATAACTATACCACTTTTACATATTTTTAATTTATCTTTAAAACATGGAATTTTTCCTGAAAAACTAAAGGGTGCAAAAGTTACACCAATTTTTAAAACAGGTGATCCTTCTGATGTTTCCAACTACAGACCGATCTCTGTTCTTAATTGTTTTTCAAAGATTTTGGAGCGTATAATGTATAATAGACTTTATTCTTTCTTAAATGTAAATAATATTCTTTACAATAAACAATTCGGGTTTAAATCCGGTCATTCGACCGATCACGCAATAATTAATCTTGTGCATGAAATTTTTAAAGCGTTTGATGAAAAAAAATTTACTTTAGGTGTCTTTATTGATCTGAGCAAAGCTTTTGATACCGTTGATCATAATATTCTTCTTTATAAACTTAAAAATTATGGTATCATAAATTCTAACTTAGGCTGGTTTAAGAGTTATTTAAAGAATAGGAAACAATGCATTTTATATGATGGCGAGAAAACAGACTTGATGACAATTACCAGCGGAGTTTCCCAAGGATCAATTCTAGGACCGCTTTTATTTCTCATTTATATAAATGGCTTGAGTAAATTTTCCAATATCTTAAATTCAATTTTATTTGCCGACGATACTAACGTATTTTATTCAAATAAAGATATTAATTTTTTATTTACAACAGTGTACGAGGAGCTTGTGAAACTAAGCGAATGGTTTATATCAAATAAATTGTCCATAAATATTAAAAAAACAAAATATACTTTCTTCTATCGTCTTCATGATAAAGACAACATACCCTTACAACTTCCTAAGTTTTTTATTAATAACTCTTATGTCAAAAGAGAGAGTTTTTTTGTTGTTTCTAGGCGTTGTTTTAGATGAAAACGTAACATGGAAGGAGCACATACGAATAATCCAAAATAAAATCTCGAAAAATATAGGCCTTTTATACAAAGCAAAACAGTTGTTGAACCAAACTTGTTTGAAACTTATTTATTCATTGCTATCTAAATTACGCTAACGTTGCTTGGTGCAGCACTAATCTAAAAATAAAGGACTTTTAATTAAACAAAAACACGCTCTAAGAATTATTGGAAATGTGAATCGCTTTTCGCACACTAAATTACTTTTTAATAAATTCAAAATACTTAACGTATTTCAACTTAACCTATATCATATTTTTATATTTATGTTCAAAGTAGATAATAAAATGGCACCCATTTTATTTAATTCATTTTTCGAAAAAATTAATCATTTATACCCAACAAGATTTTCAAACAACAATTATATTCAACCAAAAAAATATTATTCTGCGACTAGGTTCTCGATAGCAGAGGACCTAATTATGGAACACCCTATTGGATAATGAGTTTAAAAAAATTTCTTCCCTTGATCAATTAAAAAAAAAAAAAAGTAAACTTTTGATAATTGACAATGAACTTGACTTCTTCTGAAACTTTTAAATAGGAGTAATCACTTGTTTTTTACTTGATATTTAATTAATTTTTAACATATTAATTTTTGATTTTAATTTGAATTTTTACTTTCTTAAATTATCGTGTTTTATCTCATTTTTATTTACTATTAAAATTTGAAATCCTAACAAAATAAAAAAACTAAAAAAAAAAATTAAATTTTAATGAAAAATATTTAAATATTTGTATTTATATATGTACCTTACGCATATATTATATTGTGATTTTTTTGGTTTTTTGGTTTTTTATTTTGTTTGTTACTTATATTCTTGTTTGAAGAGGCTTGGCGATAAGACTGAACTTGTCTTCTTCTTGCCCAAGCCGTGTGTATACAGTTTTTAAAGTCTAATTTTGTAAATATTTTCTTTATGGCGAAATATATATTATATTATTATATTATATTATACACTAGTCTCAACAAAATGTACCAAAATCAGCATTAATCAATAACTGCGATCGCAGTTATTGATAGTTAGGTTTATTTTTTTTTCACAAAATTCATACACTTTAAGAAAAATACCATTAAATTTTAAATAATTTTTTTTTTCACCATTTTGGTACATTTTGTAAACACCCATGTATGAATGCTACCTTTAAAATTTGATAGCAATCGGACTATGCAACATAGAGTTTTTTAGTATAGTATCTTTGTACCATTGTTTTAAACAAAATTTTACGTACTGAATGCGTATTTAAGCAAAATAATACGTAAGATACGTAAATTTACGAATAGAGTACGTATTTAATTATACGTACGTCTTGATCCGTATCTATACGTTTTATTACCTAATTAAATTTACAAAATATATTTTAAGGTTAAAATACGTATTTTTGGGTATTTTAAAATACTATTACTGTATAGTTACCGTAACATGAATATAACCAACATGCTTCGAATTTTTTTTATGAACGAGCAGATTCAGAAAGTTGTATTAATGATTTATTTTTTAGATTGTCAGTACATCACTTTTATAATAGGCAAGTTATTATTATAACAATAATTAGAATTAAAATCATTATAGTTTTATTTTTCGTTGAATTATAAAAGCAACCTTTTTATGTCACAAATTACGATACTATTTTTAATACAAAATTTGCATTGAAAAAGTGTTAATCATTGACTTTGTTACAATTTCAATATATACAATGATTGTATATATGATGAATGTAAATTTAACTTTTAAGTTAACTTTTTAATCATTTTATATTTTATATTTATTAAGTGTTTTATGTTTATTTGACTTTTTTATTACAGAGTTCTGTAACATTCTTGGATGTTCAATATATAAAAGTTTTGGTAATCCTACAGTTACGCGGTCTAAAATAATTTTATTTTTCCGCTTGTCAGTAGAGGCTTTACAAACAATAAGAATATAGTTGAAATAATAAAGTGAAAAAAGATTGGCTGCCCCATGCCAAACCCTCATTCGATGTAGCAGCACTTCCTTGTAGCAGAAGGCTATAAGATAGTCGATGTAGCAGCACTCTGTTGCGAGTCAGGCTATAAGATAGTCGATGTAGTAAAACCCCCTGGCGCAACAGGCGCAAAAATATAATTATTTTAGGCCGCGTAACTGTAGCTTTACCATATATATATATATATATATATATATATATATATATATATATATATATATATATATATATATATATATATATATATATATATATATATATATGATGATATTTTTATGTATTTAATAGCTGATGATTGCCGTGTATGGCACAAAACTTTAATTTCTATTAACAATGTTGTTTTTAATTTAAACAAAATTAAAAATATATATATATATATTTTATTTTGTATTTTTTAAACTGTCTTATTATTGTTACATTAGCATTCATGTTATAATAATAATTATTAAATAACATGTCTACTTCAAGAAATACTCAAAAAAAGTTGCCATTGCAGTCAGTAGCTGCTTGAATATAACAGACGGTTTGTTTTGTTAATATATTCAAATGCTTTGATATAAAATTATATTTATTTTTCATTGTTATTATTTATAGGAGTTGTTTAGATTTTTGAATTTTATTTAAATTATTATGTTGTTATTTATTATTTGTGTTATTTTTAACTGCATAAATTCCGGTTACAATGTAAACCTCCACAAAATCTTGAACAAGGACGTGTCTTAGGATTGAGAGTCGAAAGAAATAAAAATGGGGAACTGATATGGAAACGAGAAAATGTGGTACAATTTGAACCTTTAAATGCAGTCACACGATTGCAGCTTTTTAGCAAGTTAGGTAAACTCATTGGACATTACCCAGTGGCAGGAAGTTTGCGTTTACAAGCTTCATACATTAAATATTTAGCTGAAAATATACCTTGGTGTGATTTTATTTCAGAAGATTGTAAAGAAAAACTGAAAGATTTGCTTCACCGTGTGGAAAAGGAGGATCCGGTTAGTGGGAAATGGTTGGTACCAGTGAATGGAAGTGAGCTTTATTGTAATGCATCATCCATAGGACTTGAGGTAGTTCTGCTCATTGGTGGAGTAGTTGTTGAAGACGCAGCATGGCTACGGTCAGCAAGTGACACACCATATCAATATAAGTGAACTGGGTTCGATACTTCGAGGACTAAACTTAGCTAGTAAGTGGGACATAAAAGAGTTAACAATATACAGTGATAGCAAGAGCACCGTAGGATGGTTAAACGCAGTTTTGAAGGAAGAATATCGCATAAAAAACCGTGGAATTTCTCAGTTGTTAGTACAAAGACGGTTATATACTATTAAGGAAGCGGCAAAAGGTATCCAGATTGTAGTACAATGGATTCCATCCGAAATAAATTTGGCTGATCGACTCTCACGAATCCCTCAAAAATGGTGCAGAACAGTGTGTGCAGTTGGATTACCTGAACAAAAAGACATGGAAAGAAATTCATTCGATTGGTCACTTTGGTGTCGCTCGAACATTACAACTTTGCTTGCGAAATAACCAGTATGTATCACGTAAGGAGGTTTCAGCAGTAATAGCAAATTGTAACCAGTGCAACTCCATCGATCCTTACTCCGAACAGTGGAAGTATGGTCAACTAAGCGTAGAAAAAAAACTGGAATCGGGTTGCCATTGACGTAACACATGTAGGTGCTGAACTGTACTTATCGATGATTGATTGTGGTCCATCACGATATAAAGTATGACGTAAACTAGTAACTAAAACAGCTGCTAAAGTTGTTGGTAAACTTGAAGAAATATTCTCTTTATTTGGACCGCCTGTATGTCTTCTAATGGACAACGAATTTCGGTCCAACACGTTAACAAGCTTTGCTGAAGAATGGAATGTTAATTTGGAATATCGAGCAGCACATCGAGCTTAAGGTAATGGTATAGTTGAACGCATACACAGGACGATAAAAAGAACAGTTGCTCGCTCACATTGTTCAATCGCTCTGGCAGTCTTGCTGTACAACGAGACAATATCATCCGATTGTACTGAAAATCCATCCGAGCAATTCAAGAAAAAACCAACTTGTTTCATCCCAGGTATCGATATTCGGAGGAAAACAGTCGAGAAAGGCGTAAATACGAAATTCAAAGAGGGAGACAAGGTGTGGGTAAAGCCAACTCAAGAAACAAAATGTGACCAACCGTGGATACTAGGTGTTGTGCGAAAGCAAAATACTTTATCGTTTGACGTCAAATATGCAAATCGGGTATATCCGCGTCATATTTCACACCTGCGTCGCCGTACAGACCTACAGAGTTCAAATGAATCAGTCAACGATGTTTTTTACAGACTAAAAGATAAAAACGATAACGCTAAAGGAAGATATCACGATGATGTTTCTCAAATTCAAAATGATTCTCAAGAACATGTGCTGCAAGTAACACGCTCCGAACGAACAGTAAGCCCCCCCCCCCCCTCACAAAGATTAGACTTATGAGTTAATTCACCAAGAGGGCGTATTCTCTTTTTTATGTTGGTGAATTGTGCATGTTAAAAATCACGTAGATACGTGTTGTAAGTCACGCGTTATTTCAATTGTAATTAAAAGTATTCTCATGGGACTTTTTGTTATTTTATATAGAGAGACAATTTTTGTATAGAATTAGTGAGGTTAAAAGAAAGCTATAAAATAATACGTTTTGTTTATTCAATTCATGGACGCGACGAACCAACAGTTACTGCATAAGGAGATCTACAAACGTTAATTATGACTTTAAATATAAAAGTTAAGTGGTTTGAGTAAGGTTTATTAAACCAATAAAATTCAGAGTTTTGTTTAAACAAGGAGAAAGTTAAAATTCTTAAAGGGGAGATAAAAAAATTCCATTGAAAGTGGAGATAAATACCTATTGAAAGGTCCATGATGCTTTTAAAATACAGAAGCACAATTATTTCCTTTCAAATGGCTAAATACATATACAAGACATATACAACCATAAACTTTATTTCCATAAAATAAGTGATACCTGCCACTTCAGAGTTCCGTATCGAGCAAGAGGATTATCTTCAATTATCTTTGTATCGTGGAGAAGTAAAGGATTTTCTGCATATAAGCCCCAACCTTCAGAAAAAGATGGATAATAATCTACCACGTCGTTAATCCAACCTGAAATTCCACCACAAGCATCTTGAAAGTTCTCAAGAAATCCTTGAATCTATTGCAATTAAAAAAAAAAATAACTAAATAACTATTCCAAATAATATATTTTATTATAGTTGTTATAGTAACACTTAAGAATGTTACGGGGGGTTCACTCCGGTTTTGAAAGGTTGGAAGTTCTAATTGATTTTAACCCGCCGGCTCCAACTTTGGCTCATATAATTTCTAATCAGAAATTGTGACAAAGATTTAACTTTAGAACGCAACGCATTGCTATTAAACACAGCGCGAGAATTGTAATTTAAATTATCTTAGTTTTAGTATTAAAAAGTTCCAATAAAACATTTATAAAAAGTTGTTGACTACATGTGAATTAAAAATCTTACATGTTAATTTATAATTACTGGATCGTTTATATATTATTTTATAAGGTTTGTGGAAACTGTTCTATTTGTACTTGAGCTTCATCTCCTATTCCGTCTTCGGTTCACACTTCAACTCTCGAAACTCTGGCTTCAATTGCTACGAGTTGACGCCTCAGCTCGTAGTAATAAAAATTAACTTAATATTAAAAATCGTGGGAAATAGGTAGAAAATGACCTGTCGTTAAAAACTATATAGAAGCCAAAAAAATTTTTTTTTCACTTTTTAATCATATTTATGAAAAGATATCGTCTATTTAAATTATAAAAAGATATCCGAGATAATAAAAGATATACGACTCTAACGTATATTTAAACATAAAATAAAAAAAGATTATAAACATTTTGTTAAGAATATTTTTTTTAATTAGAAGACTTGCATTGGCAAAGCGATTTTTAAGTTGATTAGACGTACAAAATGCTACTGTTACCGGTAAAGAGGTTCTAACTTGCTTTTTTTTAACATTAAAAAAACAATGTTTGCATAGTTTATAAACTTAAACTGTTAAAAATGATAGACGTGACTTTTTCGTCAATCGTTGAAGACTAAGTTTTTTTGCATATGTGACGTCACTTTACGGAAAACAAACTAGAATTAAGATTTTATTTCAATTATTTTTTGGAAAATTCCTTTTATTTAAAATATATAGAATATATATTTTTATCGGATAAATTCTAATAAAGACTAAATATAGTAATTACTATATTGTTTCTTTAAAATAATTTATTTATTACTATTGTAATAAATACAAACTCTTATTCATAAAATAATATATTTTTACCAGTTTTATATCTTTTTGTGTAATTGTATGCACCATAATTAAAATTAATCAAAAAATATAAGATAAATGCAGGAGCCAACTCGACGTAAAACTGACGTCTATGCTCAAAATTTTTTAAGTAAACTATTTTCCTTACTAGGGTTTACAAACATATGAGTTAAAATGATTTTCATATATTTTTATTAAATTTTTTAAATTCTACTTTTATTTTAGCAAAATAAAAATATTTATGATTTTGAATAGAAAAATTAGACAATTATTAACTCATTTTTTATAAATATTTTTTTTTTTTGGCCATGGCAAAGTAAGGTTGAGTAAGATTGGACCCAACGTACTACCCTGAGGAACTCTTCTAACAATCCAAATTGCATTTGATAATGAACTTCAAACCTTAACTTGTGGACAACTATTAATCAAAAATATGCAATTTCAATTTAGTAAATTGCATCTTGGTAACTCTAAATTGGCGTTTAAATCTAACTCAGGATGAATACATTGTCTCTACATAAATTGGTGTTTAAGTCTAACTCAAGATGAATACATTGTCTCTACATGAAAATTAACGGCCTCAGTGTTGTTAAAAAAGCTATTATTACTTGACAATACTTTGTTATCTTTTGTAAAAATACTTCAAAAGTGTTTATTAAACATGTCAGTTTATTAAACATATCAGTACTTTCTATATTTCTAAAAGTAGACATTTTTTTTTGCCTTTTGTAAAATTTTGAAAAGTTATGAGTGTTTTGTTGGTTACTTACTGTACTACAGTGGAGAAAATAGAATTAGTCTCACCATGTACTGATCCAATATTTTGTAATTCTTTAAGCAAGTTTGTGCGGTGCATCTTTTGTATCCACACACATAATTATTGTTCCAAACAATAACTTTTTAGATTATAATACATCATAATTAAATTGCGGTACATTTGAAAAAACCATAAAATGTATAACTCTTGATATTTGAAGAAACAAATAGAATTAGCCTCATCAACAATTATTTTAAGTTTACTTGTATATTTTGATCTGGTGAAACGCATTTGTGCCTTAGTTTTTTATTATTATTTTTAAGTTAAACAAAGAATGTGAAATCAGTGCTCATAAAGTTTTTAACATATGGTTTTTGATACTTTAATATGAAATGGGACGTGGTAAACGTTTAACGAATGAAGAATTAGCAGTAATCGAAGCATACAAACATACAGGCTTATCTAATCGGAAAATTGCAAAGAAAATTAAAAGATCTCCAAAAGTGGTTAATAATTACTTCAAGATTGGCGTTAATTATGGAGCTTATAAGGAAAGTGGTGGCAAACGCAAAATTGATAATCGTACTAAACGAGATATTGTACGTCGTGCTGCTGCACAGCACATGACTACTTCTCAAATTTGTGCTGATTTACAATTGCCTGTATCTGTTTAACGTGTGAGACAAATCTTAGATGAAGATCCAAGCACAGTTTGGAAAAAGCGTAACCAAAACCAAAACTTACTTCTCGTTACAAAGAAGTTAGATTACAATTTGCAAAAGAACACATGTCTTGGAGAGAAGCGTGGCATCAAGTCCTATTTAGTGATGAAAAAAAGTTCAAACTAGATGGTCCTGATGGCTATCAATATTACTGGCACGATCTTCAAAAAAGGAAAGAAACTCGGATAAGTCGTAACTTTGGTGGTGGAACTGTTATGGTTTGGGGGGCTTTTTTCTTTGCTGGAAAACTTCCACTGGCATGGATTTCAACAAAAATGAATTCACAGAACTACATTGACTTATTAGAAATAAGTTTGCTTGAACATGGTGAGGAACAGATGGGTGAAAATTTCACTTTTCAGCAAGATAATGCTTCTATCCATAATTCAAAGCTTATAAAAGCTTGGTTTAGATGTAGTCCAGATCTTAACCCAATTGAAAATCTATGGGGAATACTTTCTAGAAAGGTTTATGAAAATGGTAAGCAATTTGAATTCACCTTGGAGCTGAAAACACGTACTAGAGAAGCTTGGAATGAAATATCTGTAGAAACTCTAAAATCTTGTGCTAAATATTAAATGAGCGTAAAAACAAAATATTTTTCGTATTTTCTTGTATATAACATAAGTGAGGCTAATTCAATTTTCTCCACAAATTGAATACTTTAAATTTTTTTTCCATTTGTAATTAATTAAGCATATTAATTTATAAACTTTTTAGTTGTAACAGAAGATAATAAGAAATAAAGTAGATTTAATAATTGTTTTACTGCTATTTTTGTTAAGTTAAAGCAAAAAATAAAGGTGAGGCTAATTCTATTTTCTCGGCTATATAGCAGCCGCTATGAATGGCTAGCCAATAACTTTCCGGCATTTTAATAATGGCTGTTCATCGGTAAGCCACTTTTGGTGGCTACCATTAATGGTCTACTAGTAACTAATGAGCAAAACTACAGCGGACAGCTGAAAATGTCTATATAGATCCACAGAAATTCCTCTATAGAATTTTAGCTGGATCACATGGCAGCAAATTTTATGAACTTTATTTTTATTATATTTATTTTTCCTGAAAAGAAAATCCAGTTTTTGTTTTCAATGTTGATAGTTAATTGATTAGATTGTTAAAGATGATAGTTTATTGATAATTAATAGTTTATTAGGTTTGAAACAAGAATTTGATTAATTTACTGTTCATGCCATGCAAAAGAGTATTATTGTTTTTATGGAACAAATAAAGGTTTGTGTCATTAACTGGTCATCAGCATACATTACTCTCATTAGCTTTTTGGCTTCGAAAAATATAAATGAGGGAAAAAAAGGTTGTAATATAGATTTTGATGGCGTTCCACAAGTTATATTTGCTAGAATTTCAGTCAAGGAAATATTGGTTTCAAAAAACTTATTTTATTTTTATTTTTTACTTCTCAAATTGCTTTTTAGTAATATTAGAAAATTTTCAATAGTTTTATCATTTTATATCAAGTACCAGACTATTTTTTCTACATCAGTGATTTTTGTTGCCATAGTTTATTCATGATATACTTTTCATACTTGCTTCAAAAGACTTTTAACTACCATAATTTGTAAGGTGGGTGTGGGTATAAAGGCTCAATGGGTAATAAGGCCCACTAGTCTAAACTACGGGAAAATATAAAATTTGAAACTTTTTTTCGGCATTAAAATATTAGAATTATCTGTTTTTTTCACTGGCAGCAAAAGAAAATCAGCCTTTCTTTACTGTTCGTTCGACAAAGCAAGATTACTTCGTTGGTTCCGTAAATAATTGCTAAAAATATTGAGAAATCAATTATAACAAAAGTTATTCAAAAAAAGTCTAATTTTCACAAAATGTTTAAATAACTTTATAACAAAAGTTAAAGTCAATTATAACAAAAGTCAATTTAACTTTTGACATAATTATAACAAAAGTTAAGGTCTAAAAAGTCTAATTTTTAAGTTACGTATTTCAACATTTTTAAATATTTTATAATGCTTTAATTTTTTCAAGTGCATTTATTTGCAATAAGTATTCATTAGTTATCATTATTTAACATGAAATATCTATGCACGTGTTCTAAGAAAAGGAGACTTTATCGATAAACGTGACAGGTCCAAAGCGGGTAATAAGGCCCACAAAAAATCGGGTAATAAGGCCCAAACACAAGGTTAGCGGTAATGATAAAAGAAATACGCTACATTTTAGTTTAGTGTTAATAAAAGAAATAATTAGGAAAAGTAATTAAAACAAATAATAAATAACAAACTTTAGTTTATTGTAAATAAATAAAATCGCTGTTTAATAATAATTACAAAAATGTTGTTGACCTGAATTTTATACTTTAAAAAAGTAAGCAATGATTTAATACTTTACTTATAAATAGTAAT